CCTTAGACGCTTGGCTCTGGTGGGATGAAGGACAAAAAACAGTCTTTAGGTTGTCCAAAAACTCTGTGATGGTGGTACCGATGAGTAGGCCACTGGAGTCCGCAGCCTCGGCCCAAGACAGTGCTTTACCTCGGAGACGGTTTATGACATAGCTGATTTTCTCTCTATCCGTAAGGTATGTCCGTGGTTGGTGCTCGAACACCCAGCGGCACTGCAGCAGAAAACCCCGACATTTATCCACATTGCCGTCAAAAATGTCTGGTTCAGGTATCGGAGGATCTGGGCGGGGACTGGTAGAATGGGTGGATAAACGATTCTGTTGAGACAACATCACGGAGGTGAGTTGTGTTACCTGTTGTGTGAGTGCCGCCAGGTCATGTTGCTGCTGCTGCAGAGCCTGAGCTAGTTGTGCGTTTGACGGTGGTCTGCCTGCACCGGAGTCAGCAGGGTCCATGTTGGCCAGTTCTTTCTGTTAGGATGGCTCAAACACGGAAGTGAGCGAGTCACAAAAATTGACGGACCCAGGTGGCTAACTTCGATGCAAGCAGTGCAAGTTTATTTACAGTGTACAACAAGTGACCAAGAAATGAACAGACGAGTAACACTGGGACCGGGTGTCGCGCTTCGGATGGGAACACAGTCAGTGGTGGAGATGATGAGAAGAGGACCGGGCTGCGGACACTGGGACTCACTCCTGGACTGGTCGAGTTGGATGGTACTGAAGAGGAATAGAAATTGTACATACGGTAAGTAGTAGACTGTGCATCGACCTGCAGGGTGGTGGTGAAGCAGAGCGGAGGAGGTCCGTGATCCGAAGGAGCGACTGAGGCAAGGAGGGAATGAATAAAAAGCAGCTGGAGAGAAGGAGACCAAAAAAAAAACTAACACAGATCAGAGGAACAAACGGGCCTGAGAAATGCTAGAAAGAACTGGCAGGAGAGTGAACGAAGTGCAGGGGCTAAATAGGGAGAAACTAATCAGGTGCAGCTGGTGGTAATCCGGGGGTAAGAAGCAGGTGTAAGGGCTAACATAATCAGGGTAAGGGAGTGAAAACAGAGCGAGGGGAGTGAGAAAGTAGGTGCAGCCGGGCAAACTTGACACACAGAAGCGTCTCAGTATCTGTCAGTGGTGAGAGGAGAACTTGGAAAAGATGTTACCTCAGGAAAACTAGTCATATCACATTGTCAAAATACTGCCTTACAAGTAAAGGCACAAGTATGGACATATACTTAAGACACCAGTAGTAAAAGTGCTCGTTATGCAGAATAACAGATTTTATCACTGGACTTTCTGATTGATCATTTCACAGCAGGCAAAGGTGGAATTGTAATGACTTCCAAATTACAGTGCAAACCCAGGTTGACAAATGAGGAGCCACTGCATCTGCATCCTGCACTCAGCTGTTTACACTTTCCTGCTTGTCACGGCTTTGGTTCAACAATCCTTCTGCACAGCAGACATGTGATATGTGATATTATCTTCATATCCCTGTTTGCTAACAGTTATAGACTCTCCAGGCCTCCTGAACTGTCTCTCTGTCACTCACCGGGCGGCCGTGCAGACTCTCAAAGTACAGAAGACATTTCTGTAGCGTGATCTTCTCCAGGACCATCTGAGACTGAGTCATCTCCTGCACACACAGTTTGTTGTCAGTCAGAGGGAACTTTACACTGACTTACATTTATTTCAAGGAGACTCTCCCCAGGCCAGTGATTTTCTCTATGTTACTTCCCACAAACCCCATCCAGAGACCAGCAGCACCACTCAATGAATGTGGTGTCCTCACCATGATGTGTGTGAGTCCAGATCCTGGTTCCTGCTTATCGCTCTGTACAGTAAACCTCCACTGTTGTCCACCAGCTATTAACATACGTACGTACATGTCTCTTATAAGGACCATCGTTTACCATCACGGGCGCCTTTTTCTTGTGTCTTAGTCCCACCCACATAAGATCCAAGGAAAACACATGAGGAGAGAGGACCCGATAAAATACGTTATTAATGACATGAGATGTCCTTTCCTCAGATCCTTCATATGGAGAGTCCAATCACCAACCTACAGTATATTCTAATTTTTTGGCACATACCTGTAGGAGACATGAGACGTACTCTCTGTCTTACTTACGAGACTATAAAAAGTGACAGCCGTTCTGAGCCCGTGGAGGTGTGTGTTGAATTGTTTGTGGAAAATAAAGATAGAAAATCACTGATTTTGTCCATTAATGTTGAGGTCACAACAGAAAAAACCCCAGACAAAAGACATGAAATATACCAGAGAAACAGACGTGGTGACAGTTTTTCTTTGTCTGACACCAGTGTGATGTCACGTTCTGTGATGTATAAACACACCTTGATGTTGTCGGGCAGGCCCAGAGCTTGTCTCTTCTCTCTCAGGCGCCTAAACAGAGACTCCACAGTTTCCTCCAGGGTTGGTTTGTGGTCTGACGCCCCCTGCTGCCTGGAACCCACCCTGCAGGACACATCTACTGTGACCCATAGACCTAACATGTCCACACAACTGGGAAACTTCACCAAATGCAACATACCACACTGTAGTAGTACTAGTAATAATAATAATAATAATGATGATGATCATAGTAATAATAACAATACTTTAGTAAAGCATCTCCTCTGAAACAAAGTTCATTAGTGCTCTTCGTACTTGAACCAGGATTAAAGTATCTCTGAGGAAATGAGGCAAATAAAATCAAACAGTAATATAAAATTAAAGAATTATATTGTCTCAAAAGAAAATGGCAATAAATAATAAAAACAATAAAACAGATAAGACATGCTGGGCAAAATAAAAGGAGACTGTATGAGTAGATACAGTGTGTGAAACCTCGTCTCCGTGTTACCTGCAGGTGTCGGCGTTCTGTGGACTGTCCTGCTCCTTTGACTCAAACACCGACTGTCTGAGTCTCAGCTCTGGTGAAAGACACAGTCAGACATTAACACGTGATGCAGGTGACACATGTACATGCCAAGGCTGCACTTTCCTCAGCGTGTGTTATATGTGTTTTTGTCTTTAAACTGTCAAATTAGCAATAAGTGAAGAAAAAAATAAAAGCGTCAATGGATTAATGGCCTGTCAGTTTGCCAGTGGTAGCAAAAATACTCAGGTCATTTACTTAAGTACATAAGTATATCCATCCATTATCTGTACTGCTTATCCTAACAAAGGTTGTGGGGGGGCTGGAGCGAATCCCAGCTGACACTGGGTGAGAGGCTGGGTCCACCCTGGACAGGTCGCCAGTCTGTCACAGGGCTGACATGTAGACACACAACCACACACACTCCTACGGGCAATTTAGAGTCACCAGTCAACCTAAGCTGCATGTCTTTGGACTGTGGGAGGAAGCCGGAGTACCCGGAGAGAACCCACGCAGGCACAGGGAGAACATGCAGACTCCACACAAAAAGGCCCTGGTTTTGCCGGGGCTCAAACCCGGAACCTCCTTGTTAGAAGGTGACAGCGCAACCACTGCACCACCATGCTGCCCCTACATAATTACAACATCCAAATATTTTTAAAGTATTAATAGTAAATTGGTACTTGAAAATCATATAAAGTATTTTATATTACTGCTTTATAATTACTGATGCTTTAATGTGTGAACAACACTAATGCAGCTGTTGAAGGTGGAGCTAATTTTAACTACACTGCTGGGCAGTTTAATATGTCACCATTTATTAATTTACTCTGTTTTCTGTTAATAATCTGTGCAAAGACAGCTGTTAAATAAATGTAATGGAGGAGAAAGTCAAATATTTTCCTCTGAAATGCAGTGACAGTGTTAAGCAGCAGAAAACAGACTCAAGTAAAGTACATGTGAAACTGTACAGGTGCACATGTTAACTTTGCAGGCGTGCGCTGTGTCACAGTGAATGTGACTGTCTGGGAGAAGCAGCTGTGTGTAGAGGCAGACAGTGCCATCAGGCTGATGTTTCACCTTTGAGCTGTTTACGAGCCTTTGCCAGTTCGCTCATCACTCGGACCATCTCTGGGTTGGTGTATTTATCATTGTGGGAGGGCTGCAACAGGAAGACACAAACACACCAGGATATAATCAGCGTTGCCTCTGCACAATGCCACAAAAGTTAGGAACTAAACCACTGACTGATCCGGTCAATTCCAAACCACTGCATTTTAACCAGCCCTAAAAAAGAGAGACGTCACAAAACAAACATCTTAAACCAAAGATGTCTAAAATCTAAATTTATCAATGAAGGAAAAAAAAAAACAACACACCAGTATAAAGATACATAAAAGACAAAAATATACAGTAGAACAAACAATCCCAGGTCATTTTCATTCATGTATTTATTTAAACAGAGACAGCGCACACTGGTCAACATTTGGTTAATTTAAATATGTCAGTTTCAACCAAAAAGGCTCATTTTAACATTAAAACAACATCATATTTGCTGACAATAAAATAAATCCTGGTATTTACATCAGCGTGAATGAAGTGGTACAGAATCATATTTCTGATGGTGTTCAGTATCTGATCATACTTTATCCAACTGTTGTATTGGATTGCACAGGCAGACCTAATACAGAGTGCACATTGCTGCTGTATTTTTGTGGGGGAGGCTGAGCCTCCCTAGAACATACATTTCCTTTAACCCCCCCAGCTTGCATCAAAGTGAGTTTCTCTGTTAACGAGTGAAGTTCACAGACTGAAACTTATTGATTAGCGTGTCATCATGCCAACATATCAGAAGTTTGTTAGTGGTGACTGTCAACATTCTGGTTTTGCCCAGGAATCATTTGGAACCTGATTTAGACCTGGCCCTAGACCTGACTGTGGACCAGAGTCCTGCTGTATTTACCTTGTAGCTCATCTCCTTCTCAAACTGATCCTCAAACTTGCGAACCTTCTTCTTTAGGCTCTGAATCTGTCTGCTGAGGAACGGGAAGGAGGACGGACATTCATCTTCTGACCCCTCAGTCCTATCCCCCCGGCCTCGAGACCTGGACACAAGCACAGATGGATAAAAAGTTTAAAAATCAAGCCACGATCCAAGTAGAGGTTCTATAAATGATCTCAACTTTAAATAATAACTTTATTTTGGCGATATACTCTGATAATGTAGATTGTTCACACAACAACAGGTCAAGGTCAAGTGTTGATTGTCATATGCACAATGAGGAAACCCGTTTCCCTGTACAAAGAAATTCTTACTTTGCCGTTCACACGAATGCCACATAATACAAGTGAAATATAATGCAGATACATAGGTAACAAAATCTAAATCTCGAAATCTAAGGCACTGTAAAACAGCTGATGAAAGAAGCATAATGAAGAATACAACAAGAACACAATACAATGAAGAGCGAATGCATGCTACATGAGAGCTGTGTGGGCAAATATTCAACAGTGAGTGTGCAATTATGCATGTGCGATCTAAGCGTGTAAAACACTACCGGTCGAATTATATGAGGTAGTTCCTGAGTCAGCTGTTTAGGAGTCTGATGGCAGAAGGATTGAAAGAGTTTTTCAGTCTAGAGGTCCTGCATTTCACACTTCTGAACCTCCGGTCGGAAGAGAGGGCTGTGAACAGTCCATGCTGGGGGTGGGTGGGGTCCTTGACGATGGAGGCAGCTTTCCTACACACCCTGCAGTGGTAAATGCTCTGCAGAGGGGGCAGTGGAGTCCTGGTGATCTTCTCCGCAGTCTTTACCACTCTCTGCAGGCACTTGCGGTCCATAGCAGTAGTGCTACCATACCAGACAGTGA